GTGTCAGCATCATGGAACACTAGCTTCTCCTCAGAAGTATGCGGTCCTACTGCTCTAGGTTCGGAAACAACATAGCAGTGCAGGGGTCAACCATAGCATACACCTGTGATGCCATCTCTTATAACATTGCCCTCAAAAGCGTTTGGTTTTAGCATGTTCGCAAAATTGCTAATCAAGTTTTTGGATTGTTAGAACATTAGACAAATCCATGTATACTTTAATCCAGAAAAAGATTAACAACATGTTTGTGACATCACGTGCTTGTGTGATCTAATTGCAGATGAGTTAATGGACACTATACTAATCACGATTTTAATCATAAAAATAAAAGGTGGGTTGCTGAGCATACACAGAGGCACCAGAGCCGTTTCTACCAGTGGACATAGTGGTTCGTTGATGTAATCGTCCTGTTCGATGCAGTGTAGAGACATCGCGGTGCCTATCGTGTCAAGACCAATGTTAGTGAGAAGTGGATAGTGATGCCGTGAATAGGAGGCCACTGAGAAGTAGTGGATCATCGGCACCTTGTACTTGAACACCAAGAATGCCATACTCGAACACCAGGACTAGGAGCGTGAAGAAGCGAGCAGTCGCGCTAATGCGCTATCTAAAAACTTGATCGCCCGCCTACCTGCGCAAGTGCACAAGCGGGCAGAGTTTTGGAGGCCCACTCTTCCGACAACTTGTGCGCGCAGGAGGCCGATACGGAGATGGCAGAGAACAGCACAACAACAGCTTGGCGGTGTTCTTGGCTATGTGTTCTCCCTCGCGTACAAGAGAAACAATGCCCCTTTTATGCAGCAACAAAGGAATACGAAGATGAAGAGCTATGAACGTGAAGACATAGTGATCATTATATCATGCCAATAACTTAAGAAACTAACAAATCAATTGTTTGTACATGCACTTAACACTCGTCAAACTGTCGGTTACACTGCATAAAGGACCTATGCATATTATCATAGCGTTAAATGCAGTCTTGGATTTTTTATTTAATTATTGAATAAAATTGTGGGAGACCCAATTAAATCCAACACTCCAAATATAATATTGGTTAAGAAATTATATTGGCTAACAATAAAAAAAAATACTGGATTCCACTAGCTGCTTCCGACCAAGCAGCCACACGCAGAAGGTGCAGAGCAGATGAACGGTGCGCCGTGGGAGGTAAATAAGAGCCAAGTGAGACGGTAAATACTCTTTTTCTCTTAAAATAATTGTATATATTTTCGCCTCCTGGCTTATAAACCGTACTTTTTCAGCCAACAAATAGTATTTTTCTCTCACAACAAATCAGCTAACAGTACTTTCAGCTATGGCTTATCAGCTAAGCGAACATGACATTTGTTTCTTCATTCAAAAGTCATTTTTTTTAAATTTAACTAACTATATAGATATATATAGTAACCTTTGTGATGTGTATACTAAGTATCAATAGATTAATTGAATGCATTTTCATAATAAATATACCAGAAGATACTAGCAAATACGTATACATCCGTTGGAATGACTTATAAATTGTTAGGGTTACAATTTATTGCACGGTGCTCGCTTCAATAATAATGAGCTAGCAATTTTTATTGAATTTAATTGGGCTTGGTCCAACCTTAAGTCAAATAAATTTTCAAAACTAATAATAAATACTATTAAAATAAATGATTAGTCCAACGTAGAAAACTGACATGATATTGAATCAACTTAAATATGTGGCTATTAGGTTAGTCTCAGTGGATAATATAATACGGTTATTTTCAAGATTGCCATGTGATATAAAATAAAATAAAATTAGGATAAAACGCCCAATCTCAATGAAGAGTTTTATTCTATAGTTTAATAAGCATTTAATTTCATGACTTATAAAGAATTGGTAATCGTGTCAAGAGAGTTTCATCTATATGAAACTCACTTATTTCTCTTCTTAAAAACGTTGCCACGTCATAAAAAGTGCTTACGTGGCAGTTCATTAAATGCTATGAAACTTTTATGAAACTTCCATTAGGGCATGTACAACCCACAAACGAGGGTACGTCTCTAAGCGCTTCGATTCTGTTGTACAGATATGCATAAAGACAGGTTATATAACCCAACACATGGGGCTATGTCTCTAAGCTGTTTAATGTTTTGCATGTAGCTAGGATCAACTATAAATAAATTTTTGCATACCATTGTGTGGCTATTTGATAGAAAATATATAATAAGGATAAATAAGAGCAACATGATTACAATATATTTTTTAGAAACCATCGATATAATAATTATGCTATACATAGTCGCAACGCCTTCTGTCTAATTTCCTTTGTTTCCATAGCGTTGCCATATGTGCTCGATTAAATCCTTCTTTAGAGTTTTCTATGTGTTGGCCAAGCTCTGATAACGTAATTTCTAGTTCATTGCTTTTGGATGGCGTAAATATTCTCTACCAAAGCATTCAATCACTCCTTCGACAAATTTTCCCAAAATGATCAAAGAGGGAGTGAGTTCACGCAATGTAGACGGTGATCTCAGTTTTATGAGAACAAATAGCATTACAGATAGAAACATATTGGTAGCCTTTGTCAGATTCATTCATCAGAAAAATCAGCATCTAAGTGTCTCCTTGTGCTCATTGTCCTCTGCCTTTTTTGCTGAAAAGTTGAGAAACAAAGAGTGGAAAAGATGTTAGGAACATGGGCACTAAAATCAGCACACGTCAGTGAAATCAGCACATCATCATTCAGAAAAGTTTCAGGACATTCAGAAACTTAAACTGAACAAAAGTACAGAAATATTACCACCATCCATCTAGTTTAATTGAACAAAAGTAAAATTGAAACTTAACAGTACAGAAATATCACCACCATCAATCCAGTTTATAATTGAAGAAAAGTTTAACTGAAACTTAACAGTACAGAAATATCACCACCATCAATCCGGTTTATAATTGAAGAAAAGTCACCATGGCCACCGTCAACAGGGTCCAGCCGTCGCAGCTCGCCGAGGAGCAGCGCAACGCCACAACCGCGATAGTTCCTTCCCGCGCGCGACCAAACCACAACCGCGCGCGCGAGCGCCCGGGATCCGCGCAGCGACGATTCGAGGAGGCGGGCCGTACATCGCTGCTGGAGCCGTCTTCTCCGCCTCAGAGCACGGGACGTTCCCGTCGCCTCGCGAGGCGACGCTGACTCCGTCTCCAGACTCCTACGGATTGTTTTGTGTAAAAATTGCGTTGAAGGGACCGTTGTACATGCCCTTAGGGACTGACCTTATAAGTAATTGTTGCGTTTAAGAAAAACGTACGTCAAGCCATGTAGCTGTACTTGTGTGCTGTACTGATGTGCCATGAACTGGATCGTGCGGCTAGTCAATGACATTGACAGTGTATGTCATCAAAGGTTTTGCATCTTAAAGCGAGATGTGTAAGACTGTCTTTAATATGTGACCCATAAAGACACTCAAACATAAAGTGAGTCTATGACAGAATTTAATTAGTCTTTAACAGAGTACCTATATAAAATAGGTTTGTATTAGTCTTCAATAGAGTATCTATATAGAAGATCTATGTTGGATGTTAGGAGAGGCACAACCTAAATCTGAGTATTCTCTCTTCTGAAGACCTATTTGTAGAAAAGATTTTTTTTATGTCTTGTTGTTGGAGGAGATTGCCAAAGGGCTTCTAGTCCAACTGGTTAGAGCGTTCCAGCGAATTTCAGGCTGAGGTTAAAAAAATCCCTCGTCTGTCCCACGCCAAAGCACAGGTCTAAAGAACGGCCCTGTTCTCACAGAGGCAGGGGTTCAGGGGTTTTCTGAACCTACGTGAGAAGGTTCTTCTTCTTAATGCAATGTTCGGGGTGGCTTTCCCCAGCAGGTTCAGTTTTTTTTTTGTTGGAGAAGATTAGAAATGAGTATTGAATCATTTGCTTGTAGCGATATGCAAATATGAAATTGTTTTTTATTTTTATTTTTGGTTGCCATGGTTGAGATCAGGAGTACGAGACAACAGACCTTCCGAGGGAAAGAGTGAGAGATGAAGAAAAAATTTATTCTTTAATATTAATATTAGGTATTAGATATAAATAAATATTGATAATATTTCTGTAAATCCAGTCATAATAATTTGGTCTGCCTAGGTCGGAGTAGAGATATCATTTCCCTTCTACTTGTCTATACAGGTTGGCAAACATCTCATATAGAAGTAAGAATTTGTTGAACTAATTACACTTCTTTGTAGAAATTCATCATGGGAGTCCATTGATGAAAAAGAGTTGGGGAAAGTTTGAATCGATTTCGGAAAGCTTCCCCTCTTTCTGTGGCAAATCAATTCCCCAATCCCACCCCGACTCGGATCCCTCCTCTGTTCTTGCCCGGATACCTCGCGGCCTATAAGGCCAGTCTCAGTGGAGATTTCATGACCTTATTACCAATGCATCAATATTTTGAAAATAGTGCAGAAGAGTTTCATCCTCATAAAACTCTTTCTACTCCCATAAAACTCTTATCATCTCTCTCTTCATCAATACGGTGCCACATCAGCCTATTTAATACCCCATGAAACTCTGATGAAACCCACTGAAACTGGCCTAAATACACCACCAACGCACGGTGTGATTAAGGCCCTGTTTGGTTGAGCTGTGGCTGTGGGAAAAAGCTGATGTGGGCTGTGAGCTGTAGAAAAGCTGCTGTGGGCTGTGAGCTGTAGAAAAGCTGAAAACTGTTTGGTTAAACAAGTATAAAATATACCTTTTATCTTTATCTCTCTTGAAACAACTATGGAAGAGCTTTTTATTCCACCAATTTCGAAAAGCAGAAAGCCAAAAGCCAAAAGCAGAGTCAACCCAGCTTTCAAAAATGAACTACGGAAAAGCAGCTGCTTCTGAAAAAGCACCCTCCAAAAACAGCCCCTTTGGTTAAGCTTTTGACTTTTGGGACCAAAAGCCAAAGCCAAAAGCCCAACCAAACAGGGCCTAAGGCTTGCGGGTTTTACGAAATCAGCGCACCAGCATCGCTCAACGGTGCAGGTTGCGATGCCCGCCACCCCGGTGACGGTGGCGAGGAAATCGCAGTAAGCCCCCCTTCCCCGGCCCTCCCCCACAAGGATTCAGATGCTTATCCAGCAGATACGAGTGGCTGTATAGTGCGATTTTACTGAGTTTTAGGGCACTTTTTTTTGGAAGGTATTTTAGGGCACTTTACGGCTTCAGTGATTTTCTGAAGTCAGATTTTACTAGATAGTTTCAGCGTAGAAATTTGCAAGAGAAAAGTAAAATCTCACAACTTTGATGTATGTCTAGTTGTGCATGACTGGTAAACTAGAGGTGTTACTACTTTGGCACTAACCCTAACAATTTGTGGTTACCAGGAACCACCGTGGCAGACTCAGTACTCTCAAGACAACTGAATGTCAGGGAAAGAGTAAGTTCTTCTTGGAGCACCAAGCCATCATGGAGGAGGAGAACAAAGTCTATGACACCAGTGCACACAGCTGGCGGTTTACAGAACCAGCACCCTTGCTGATAGGTAAATGGAGATTTCCCAAGCCTGTACTAGATGAAAAGGCAAAGGAAGAGAAGGCACGGCTAAGCAGGGAGGAGAAACAACTACTTCATGAGAAACTGCAGCGGCGTCAACGGGTCGAAGCAGAATTACAGCGGCGAAAGAAACAGTTCCCCCCTGGGAAGGCACCATCTGATAAGCAGCTGCGGAAGGAGGTCATCACTCATCAGAGAGGATCGTCTGGCGAGGGCTGAAGAGAGGCATGTCAAGAGTGTCCAGATGGCTTAGCGTATCATCAAGAAGAGATATCCAGACAGAAAGTATGAGCTTGGAGACATCACTGAGAAGTGCACCATCTTTGAATATGGATCAGCCTACTGTCACTACAACTTTACTGCTTGATCTCCAACCCATGATGACCTGTTCTGTTTTGCGGAAGTGGATGCCAATCTTGAGAATGAGAACGATGTTTACCAGTGCTGCACAATTGGGTCTGGTCCAGATGGTTTGTCTATGCTTCTCTATTTGCTCCCATCGAGTCTCTTTATTCTTAAGATTTATAATTGCCTACTGCATTTGTGTTTTGGTTTACTGAGCCTATGCTGTTTTTGGTTACCGATATTGCATACTGAATCTATTTGCCTTATTATTATGCAAATACTGTCTGCAACTAGGTTTTTACTCTGTACAATGTTCCCTCTATCTGTTTTTACATACAGGACGTGCATTGTCGTTTGGGCTCCAAGACCAATGAGTAGCCAAACGGACCAAATTATCACATTTACTTCTTTGTGAGCACTTGCTGGTGCAGTTAATATGGCGCCTTTTTTGTCTGCATACTCAGCCTGGCAGAGCAGCACAGATACATGCATGGGCAGAGCCTGGTTGTGAAGTTGATAGGGTAAACTAGACCATTAGTGCATTGAAATTGACGCGAGCCTTGGTAAATCTGAAACAACCACCAAAATACATCACGCCATGTAAATAAAAATGGAAGGAGTACACAGTAACAAAGAACATGCAGGATGCCCCCCCTAAGCCTAAATCAATGTGCTTGTGTTTTCTTTTTAAGTTCTGAGTTCCATATTCAAACATTTGACACGCTCCTACTGATGATTTACCAGAAATTGGATTCTTTTTTGTTTCAAATTTGATATAAGAATTTCTATCATTACAGAAATATTTACAGGAATAGTTTTTTATTCATTAGGTTGTTAGTGTAGCTTGGACATGTGTTTTCTTCAGAAGCAATCTTAGACATGTTTTGCACATGATACTTAGAAGCATTTTTTGAATATAATGACTCGGACTTATGGCTGTGAAGACAAATCATAGGAAAAAGTTTGGACTTCGGCATTTAGGAGTCCCTGTATGTTATCAGTTTTTTTGTGGCTTTAGAGTTCCTGTGGTATCTTTTAATGACTGCTGGGGTTTTAAATTAGGCTTTTTAAAAATCTACCTACTCTAAACTATGTCATCTTATCACTACTACACTCAGATCTTTCACAGTTGTGTCGTAACCCCATCGCAGTCTAATTTTAGCTTCGGCAGTAAGCTGTCGACGGTGATAGTCATAGCCTCACCATCGTCATCTGAGACTGACTGTGGTGTATATTACACCGCCGTATTGGCTTATTATCCGTCCGTGATAAGGTCTTTACTTCCGTCGTATTGGAGCACGATCCGGCTGTGGGTATACACTAACACTGCCGCATTGGTAAATTATCCGCCTGCGTCGAGGCTATCAAAACCGTTGTGTGGGCTCATCAACCGCCTGTGTAGTGGTCACCAGCACCGTCGCCTTGTACTTCGATTCGACTGTCTGCGGTGCGGGTTTGCTATCCCTTCGATGGCCGAGACATCTGTGTAGAGGTTAACATCACCGTCGCTTCAGCGTATGAACCACCAATACAAAGATCATGGTCACCGTCGCCTTGCACCATGATCCGCCTTTGATGATCGTTTAGTCGGTGTCGAGTTACTAAATGATTCGGCGGTGATATACTTTGGATCCCTGCCACATCATACATATAGCGACGGTGGTGGACGTTTGCACCACCACCGGCGGTGGTGATAAGAAAACAATGAACGACGCTTACATCCGACGGTGATAGAATTTCATCTGGTTTCACAATAGTTACTAATTCAGCTTGGCCCTGAATAGCTTCATTGTCGATGTTTTATAAATCGGACTAATAAATTTATACGATTGTCGTGCTGCTTTTGGGAGATGATGGTAGCATCTAAAAGACATGATGATTTATACTGGTTCTGGTTAGAGCCCTACGTCCAGTCTCAGAGATGATCGAGTGTGTGTTCCTTGCTGGAATGCTTTAAAGTTCTTACAATGGAGGAGGTGCAAGAATGGTGGAAGAGGTAGGAGATCTAGAGCTAGGAGACGGGCTGCTTGAAGGGAAGCTTCAGGAGCCCTTCTACGGTGTAAGAATGAATGAATGAGAGTTGGATCCCCAAGATGGGTGTCTTGGCTGCCCTTATATAGAGTTTGGGGCCAAGGCATATATAAAGAAGAAGGTTCTCCTGACCGAAGGGTCGTGAGTCTGAGGGAGGTCCTACTAACTTGGCTTGCAAGCTACACCGTCTTATGGAGCACATCTGGGCGTGGTTGTCGACATGGTCTTGTGGCCATATCGTGGCATGGTGTGACGTGGTGCTACTATGCTAGCCGTGGCGGCACTATAGGCACGGTGGTGGTTCGCCAGCCGTCCTATGCGACGTGGTCCTCACCGTGGTCTTCGTTATCGCTTCCTGGTTTCCTAGGGTTTCGTACAGTAGTTGGTAGCCACCCATGGGTCATCGATCGCCTTGTTGGTTTGAGGAGCTGAGGGCCACTATCCTGATCGTTGGGGTCGTGGTTCCCGCCGGGTTGGATGGCCTCTAAGTCAAGGCGTTCGTCGTGGATCCCATCCTATGGTGGGTAGAATCGTACATTCGTCTTGTCAGACCGTATGTGGATGGTGGATCGCCATACTGGTTGTCACCGCCGTGCGATGTTGTCTTGTCTGCACAGCGTGGCGTAGGGATGGCGTTTGACTAGACCGAGGTCACTGCTGTCCCCTCGGTCCTTGCAGAGTCAGAGTAGCGTGCTATGGAAATGTTACATGGCTATGGTTATTATTGTTATGCTACCTAATTCTACGTCACCTGTGTGGCATAGGTTAGTTGCTAATCTAGAGATGAATAGCTATAATTAACTTGATGACTGAATTATAAAATGTGTAGCTAAACTAGTGCCTTTTATGTAAAAATATTGTCAAGCTAGCTTCACTTGTAAAGCCTTGCATGATCCTTGGAGTCACTTTATTTTGGTTAATTATGGATAAGTCTAGCTGAGTACCTTCTTATACTCAGGGTTTTATTTTTCACTTGCTGCAGATAACACCGTCTATCATGGATATTGTAAGAACTACTTCTGTCCTGTCGTGGACGAGGAGTAGGCCATGGGCAAGGCGCTTCTATATATGTAATCTATGATGTTTTTGTGGGATGTGATCATAAACTGGCAAGTATTTGAACAATTGTGTGAGATGTTAGTTTAAAAACTATCTTTGCTTCCGCTACTATTGTATTTGAATTTGGTATTGTAATAACTCTTTTTGTACTTCGATGTATGTTGAACTACTTGTGAACTTATGTAACATGTGGCTTGTATGTTGAATCATGTATGATTTTAGTTGTGTATTGGCTTATTCGGGATCCTGCGTGATACTCGATGGACTATCGGGTTTATATGGGCTCAAGTATAACGGTGCGATTGCTTCGATGGTCTATTATTCTTGTGCTCTTATAAATTGATTGGTTGTGCCGCACGCCATGGGCTCGTCATATGGATTGGTGGCTCGTATGGATTTCACTATTGGAGAAGAGTTCAAGCGTGAAGTTCATCGTCGCTTTGGCGTCCAGGTACACCATGATTCTCCTAGTCCTAGAGGCTCGTTTTTCTTGCTGGCTACTTTTCGTCATTTTCTCTTTCTGTCTCTCTGGCGCTCCAATCCTGTCTGGGAGGGCTTGCATCAAAGTTTCACGTGGTGGAACTTAGTCACAATCATTTCTGATTCTCAGTGTCCTACAAGGCTGTGGGTTTTCATGTTTATTCTTTGAGACGATTCATTGCTGAAACTTTTGATGTTTATTTTCATCTGTGGAACCATGGTGTTCCGCACTGGGAACGTGAGAAGAGATTGTGGGAAGAAGAGGAGGCTAAAAAATGGACGTTAGTTCTTTCTAAATGTCAGAAACGCAATGCCAAGTCTCAGTCTGCTAATGCTTCTGCTAAGAAAGTTCGTTTTGCGCCTAAGCTTGTTCTTGCTTCTCCGGTCAAAAAATTTGCTCCTCCTACTCCCAGAGTTCAGTTGATTTCTTTTGGGGAGTTCAAAACCTCGGTTGATATCTATGATTCTTCCTTCGAGCCCTTCACTGTTCTTCCCCCTGAGAATGGTAGGGCTCTGCACAACTCTGCTCAGTTCAACTTAGTTCAGTTGGAGTTCGTTTCAGAGGACAGGCCAGTTCAGAAGACTGCTAGGCGGCCGCCCTTGGATAGCTCGTTCATTAAGTCTGCCTTGAAAAAGGATATTCTTTCGGCTAATTTGATTTCTGGCTCGGTACCCTCTGCTGATAATTATGAGCACTCTAATAAAGCTGAAGATTGGGGGATATCTCGTTTTAATTCTGCGCAGTGCTTTAATTGTTTACGACGGGGCTCGGTACCCGCTGCTGATAATTATGAGCACTCTAATAAAGCTGAAGATTGGGGGATATCTCGTTTTAATTCTGCGCAGTGCTTTAATTGTTTACGACGGGGTCATCTGTCCCGAGACTATCGCTACATTGTTCGCTGCTTAAAATGCTATAACTACGGCCATCGCGCCAAACATTGCTTATTTAAGCCGAGAAGGCGTCTTTGCTGGAGGCCCAAATCTCCTATGCTGGGCTAAACTGAATCCTCTCCTAAGTTATGCTGGAAACCCAAATATCCATTGGTCCGGGGGGCCATTAGTGATCAAGAGTCGTTGTTGACTGGGGATACGTTCACATCCCCTCGGGAACTGCAAGCGTCGGACGCCTCTAAACAGGCGCTTGGTGACCTGGGGATTAATGTGCAACAGATGCAGGACATCAAAATGGAGATCAACCCCGTTGGTAATGGTTTTGCTCATCAGAACAATGGTATGCAAGTGGACCAAGATGCTGAAGATGATGATCAGATGGAGATGGATGTGGTGGAGAATTGGGTCCC